AACATCATAAATTTCATACTCTTCATGTAGCATTTTTTATAACTCAGATACTATCCGCTTTCCAACAGTAACCATCCGTAAATTTTCCTCTTGCTAAAAACCAGAACGGAGCCCCTTAAATTTATCTGACTATTCTACTCTTTTGCAGCGTTTCCGTTGGGGTTACTATATAGTAATCAGAAAGATATTCGTCTATTTTGGACAAACAGGAAAAGTTCTGAAAATGAACGTGTTATAATATCGACACTTGAAAGTGCAGTTGCAGTGAATTTCCTGTACACAAATCACTCAATATTTTGGAGCGATGTGTCAGAGCAAAAAATATTTAGTTGCTCTCTGAAGACTTCGTGTAAACCCCAGGTTATTGTGTCGGATGATTTGGGAAGGCCTGAAGGTTTAGCTGTTGATTGGCTGACAGGGAAGTTATACTGGACAGATTATTATTTAAAACAAATTTGTGTGTCAAGTATTGATGGAAAATATCGCAAAGCTTTGATATGGAGTAATCTTGATAATCCAAGAGCTATTGCAGTGGATCCTAACGCCGGGTAACTATGATTCTATTTATGTAGTTGCGTTTTGGTGGGGGTGGTGGGGTGACATGCTCTCCACATTTTCAGTAAAAAGTAAAAGCGAAAAAAGGTAATTTTAAAATATAATAGTGAAAATATTCTGACCACAATTAGCTTCGTCCCCACCTTCAAACACTCTTCACGGTCAATGGATGTGAATCTTCCTCATTGCGCTGTATGGAGAAGCTTAAAATTTCTAGCTAGTAGTTTTTAGTTCAATGATCCTGTTACGCGGGTTTTACTTACTGTGCGTATACATGTTTTCAGATTTATGTTTTGGTCAGACTGGGGTGAGACACCACGGATATCACGTGCTGGAATGGATGGTTCAAACCAAACTGACATAGTAGATACTTTCATTACCTGGCCAAATGGGCTGACCCTAGATTACCAGGAGAAGAAAATGTTCTGGATTGATGCCAGACATAACTACATTGCAAGTGTAGATTACCATGGCAACAATAGACGTATGACGTATACACAAGCTGTCAATCATCCTTATGCCCTGACGATGATAGGTAAACAGTTATATTGGACGGATTGGGACACTAATTCAATACGAAATTGTCCTGTTTTGGGTAAGAATGTCACTTATACTGTAAATGTGATCAAGACAGAAATATACTCTCCTATGGACATCAAGGTTTATAAAGATCAAAGACAACCAAATGGTACGTTTTCGTCAGTACAATATGATACTTCATATAATAAAAAAAAGTTGTGAACGATTGTGCTTGTTTTTGCCTTCCAGTTTCATTCAATCCATGTGAGAAAGAAAATGGAGGATGTAGTCATCTCTGTTTGTTAGCTCCAAGGAGACTTTACTCATGTGCTTGTCCTTCTGGTGTTGCTCTAATGTCAGACATGAAAACATGTGAAGATGGTAAGGCTTCGACGTTGTTTGCACTAATATAATGAACTGTTACAGATAAAAATATTGTCCAGTACATGGTGATGTGGAATTTTCATGTTTTTTAAATGCATATAATTATATATAGTCTTAAATCAATCTGATCAGGCCGTCATGTTTAATCACTCTTAAAACACTCTTGGTTAATTTGATCATAGTCCTGCCTAATTTAACCGGCCAGGATTCCTAGTTGATTTAACCAGGCTGAACCAGGCTATACTGTTGAAATAACCAGATTATTTTAGGTGGATAATTAACAATTTCCTGTTTAATATTGACAACGACTTAACGCTTGTTTTGGAGAAAGCGCAGCGTCTCAATTCTAGATTCTCAATTCTCAATTCTATGTATCGTAGTATATATAGAATGAAACTAGTTTATCGTAGTTGATTTTATTACTCGACAGGTCCTCAGAAGTTCTTGTTGCTTACTCAACAAAGTGAAATACGTATTCTATCATTGAGTACTGAAGAACACAGAGATCTTGAACTGCCAATTAAGAATATTGGGCACGTGATTGCTGTTGATTTTGATCCTATGGAGAAGCTCGTATGTTGGATTGATTCCCAGTACTTTGAAATAAAGTGCGCGTACCTTAATGGTTCTGGTAATATAATTTATTGTAGAAATTAAGGTTTTGTAGATAGAATTTCCGAGTGTGAATTTTATACATTTAACAGACCTAACCAGGAGCTGAGTTGCGAAAAATTCAACTGTAAGCCCTCTAGTAGGAATCGAATCTGTGGCCCTTTTGCGTTCTAACTACAGTAACTGAGCTACAGAGACCAGTTATCGAGCTCTAACCGCAAGTACATGTTAATCAAATCCTGATATTCAATGGATCTTCGTATTTTCTTGTGTATGTGCAATTGGATGAATCTATTTCCAGCAGAAAACTTGCAAAAAAATAAAATAAAACAAGTAAAATTATATGGCCGAATAAAATCATCTGGGCACTCATTATTTGTTTAAGAACAAGACACTCAAACATAACAGCAACCCATGACGAAATTGTAGCTTCTCTTTGGAAATACCATGCAGTTGAAAAGACATTACTAATTAGCATTGCATTTTTCTTTCTTGTAATGTAAATTTTTATCTTGCTATATTTCAAGTGTTTTTGTTTTTTCTATTAAAACTCCCGAGCGCAGATAATGGCATGCGGAGATGCTAAATTTTAAAATTTTCCCTAGGGCAGTGAATCAGAATACCCAGAGAGTTTCTAGCACGGGTTTAGTATCCAACCAAACTACTATATATACTCAAATTAATAGCAGGACAAAATTACTTCGACCCTTCCTGCATGGGGAAACTTAACTACGCTGGCTGTAAATTAGGGTAGCTTTATGCAACTTCCCTAAAAAGCTTTATAAATTTTATCTTGTCTCAGGCGTAAGAACAATCGTCAAAGGCAATGACTCCTCAGCAGAAGATTTGGCAATCAACTGGATAAACCGCGGTATATACTGGACGGATACAGGATCAGATACCATCGAGATGTCTTATTTAAATGGTAGTCTCAGAAGAGTGATTGTGTCTGGAGGTCTGGATGAACCACGAGCCATTGTGGTAGACCCCAAGGAAAGGTAAAGTTACATCCATGATCCATGTGGCGCTTGCTCTGCCGGTGGGGCAATCATCTGAGATCATGGGTTCAATTCTCGTTGCGGACTCATGACAGACTTTACGATTTTAGGACCGGGCAACGCGACGGCGACGGCCAAAACAAACTTCTTCAAATAAATTATAGTAAAGATAATTCATCGTATATTGTTAATCGTATGAATTTAATGCTGTCTTAGAAGTTGAGGACATGGGTTTTATGGTTGGGAAGAGTTCTGCTGAACCCAGTTTGAAGTCTGACTCTTCCACAGTAACTAACCGACTGCTTTTGAAGTTGCACTTGCGGAGGCTTGAAATGCAGCCGTTGTATCAAGACGTGAAAATCTGTGATTTGACGTTGTAAACAGAGCGAAGAACAATGTCTAAATTATTCATATTGTAATTATTCAATTCTTTTCAATGATCTATTGTATTGGTAGCCGTTGCCGTCCTAAATCGTAAGGTCTCTAATGATGTGAAAAGTCGAGTCAATCAACACTCCCAAAAGTCGTGTGTTTTCTCTCGGCACTCTGGTTTCTTCCCACAGGAATGTTGACAACGTGGGTAGGGATTAGCTCCTAGCTGACCGTAGGTGTGCTGTTTATATGGTCCCGCTTACCCGGGATTCAATAAAGTGTGACGTATTTTGAGCAATTGAAATACGTGTTTAGGCCCTAAACAAAAGTTATATAACTTTAAATACTGCATGTTGGAACGCACTAGAAGTTATGTAGTGAAGAAGACGATTAATAGCATTCATACAATTTGTAACAAGCATGAAGTGCCACTTATCTCAATTGCTCAAAATACGTCACACTTCATTGAATTCCGTGTAAGCGGGACCAAATAAACAGCCCCTTAGAAACCTTTCGTAAACCTTACTTGGTTATATCAATTGTCATTGAATGCAAAAATTGTTACCAAACAATGTATGTAGTAGTTCAAGTAAAAACGAAAGGTTATGAACTTATGCACAGCATGCGAAAAATGACTTTTTCTAACATATGTATTAGTTGACATTATTTTGGTTATGAAATAGTAAAAGAAGTCATTTTCTGTATGCTGTGCATAACGTTTTTGCTTAAACCACTTACATTTTCTTTGTTGAATTTGATATTTCTATTTTATGCAGGTATGTGTATTGGTCAGATTGGGGAGCCCATCCTAAACTCGAGAGAGCAAAGTCAGATGGAACAAAGAGAGAAATCTTGATCAACACCTCGATAGCTTGGCCAAATGGTCTCGTCATAGATTACCAACAGCGGAAATTATACTGGGCAGACGCCAAGCTTGATAAAATAGAATCATGTGACTTGACTGGGGCTCGACGCGTTATCCTGACACGAGTCAATATTCCACATATATTTGGATTCACATTAGTGGGACAGTATTTATACTGGACGGATCTGCAGTCTAGAATTCTTGGGAGATTGCATAAAAGTAATGCTAAAGATAGGGAAGTTATTATTGACTTTGTGGCGAATGTAATGGCAGTAAAAGGTGTTGACCTTCAAATGAAATATAATCTGTAAGCAGTGGTTGCGCATTTTTTACAGGACAAGGGGCGATGCCAACTCCTCATGTAACTCCACCACCTATTTCTATCAACAGGTGGTTCATTATAACAAGCGTACAACACCCATCCATCTTGGACGGTCACTTGAAAGTATTTTTATAAAGAATTGTAATATATAATAGCTTGACTTTAATACATTTTGTGATCTCTCCATTAACGCGCGTAGCGGGCCGCTATGCAGGCTACTGTTCATTTCCCCCAGAATTTCCCTTGTTTAACACAATAAAACTAAAGCATAAATGCTCTAAGAAACGAGTCACGCACACTGATCATGCACGCACTTTTATTAATTAGAACAACAATTACAAGCATGTCCATTTAGATTGATATTTACCCAGCCTCCTTATGACGATCATGACCTGCCTACATGTTTTATTATACTTATACAGGGTGTCCCCAAAACCCCCGAAAATATTGAAATAACGTATTGTTAGAATTTGAATGCCCTAGCGCTAAGCTGAACGAAAAGACGCGTAAAATATTGACAGGGTGCATGCATATATTAAATATTGAGGTTAAAATTAAGCGCTCTTCGCATGCTCGAAAAGACTGGGACTGGCTTAAGGAGTCGTGGTGTAGCAAGAATTGCACAAGCGAAAATTTAGCTAGTGAATTCGTCATTCTTAGACGCCGTCTCTTGCAATGTTTGTTATTTCATGCTCGCATTTGTAATTGTTAATTTTTTGTTTGAACTTTAATACTGTTGTTAGACGAGAGAAAATACATGGGAGAAAGTAGTAAGAATTGCTACTGAAAAAAATTGCTCGTGATTCTGCATCCTATTCCTGTACTGAAAGTATAATGACCCTCAAGGGGCAAGTAAATTCGAAACTCTACTCCATGGGACATTCGAAACTCTACGGCAAAATACGAAAGCAAATATAACGGTTTCTGTCCGGAAACCTTACCTTGGGGGACGAGAGTCTTGAAGCGAGACGGTGCATGACTTGGACATGCATGATTTGGCTGTCAAGTCCATAGAGAATTCATATTTGTCAAGCATTGAATGAAATCGCACCGTTGTGTTGAACTGGCTGAAGCGCAACGTGATTTTGTCCAACAGTGATTGCGTATATGTGGATTATATATAGGATTAATAATACAT